CTCACTTCCTAAGAGAAGCTCACGTGTCTACAACCAGGGCACCGCTTCGTCCAGTGCACGCCGAGCTCTGACAATGCTTGCTGCAAATCAACGTACTGAGGCAGACTCACGCCCATTCCAGCTCATGAAGTTACCCACTGAGCTTCGTGAGCAAGTATACCGAGAGCTCCTCATTGGCGAAGGACGGAGAATCGTGGTGTCTGCAGACAGTGTGTCATCGATGTGGTCACGGTCATGTAAGATGGAGGGGCCATATGTCTATGGGAAGGAAATCACAACCGCCCTGCTACGTACGAATCGACGTATCCACGACGAAGCTCTTCCAGTACTCTATCAATCACACGCCTTCGATTTTGGTATCGACGTACATTACGTTGCACCATTCTTCGATCAAATATCCACCGCCGCTCGTCAAAATGTTGGTTGCATACACATGGAGCTCATTCGTTATGGGATCGGTCGCCCACTGCGCTCCGTGCCGGAACGAGACGTTAATGACAATTGCCTGGATTGGAGTGATGCCTGCGCGTACATCGCTGGCCACCTACGGGTTAAGGAATTCAGCTTCAATATCAATTTCACGATCCCTCAGGACTTTCAGCGCTTTCGTTGGGTCAAAGATCTTATTCAAGTACGCGGTGTAAGCGCAGTCTTCCATCACAATAGCGCGAATAAGCATGGTTTGAAGTCAGAGAACGCTTGGATCCAGCTAGCAAATCAGATGTCTCGAGAGGATTGGGGAGCAGACGAGTATCGTTGGGAGACTTTGCTTGAGTATCTAAATTCAGAGATGCTGCATAAGGTAAGCATTAGTTCGCTGGGGTGCGGGCCAAAGGCGGAAAGCTACGGTAAGGTACAGGACTGCTAGTGTAGTACCTTAACCTTACTTTAAAATTACAGCTGTCAAATGAGATGACTGCATCGGTTGAGCCTCAATGGCGGGGTCCCGGTCTTGGCGTTTCTTTCAGTCTTTTGCATTAGCAATCACACCATTTCTCAATATTATTCAACACTCCTACATATATCTCTCATTTTTTGCTTCTTCTTCTTTTTCTTCACCCCGAATATACTCTCATATGCTATCTCGTGTCTCCCAATTGACCAAACAACTCACCACCATGTCTTCAACCGAGAAAACGCCCAATATCAATCTCTACACAACCCAAACACCCAATGGCATAAAGATCTCCATCACTCTCGAAGAACTCGGGTTCGCCCATCCTGTCTCCGAGTTGCAGACCTTTTTCTCTTTGATCATGCTCCATCTGCTTACCCAAAGTCCCCACTAACACCCTTTTCCACTTTCCCAGCATTCCCTATAAACCCCACAAAATCGACATATCCCAAAACACCCAAAAGGAGCCCTTTTTCCTCGCCATCAACCCCAACGGCCGCATCCCCGCCCTCACCGACACCTTTTCCGACGGCCAAACGATCCGCCTCTTCGAATCCGGCTCAATCATGCAGTACCTCGTCGAACAATACGACAGCGTCCATCACAAGATTAGCTACCCAGCCGGCTCGCGCGAAAGCTACGAAGTCAACAATTGGCTCTTCTTCCTGAACGCGGGCGTAGGCCCCATGCAAGGACAAGCGAACCACTTCTTCCGCTACGCCCCCGAGAAGATCGAATACGGCATCTCGCGGTACCAGAACGAAACCCGCCGCCTGTACAGAGTCCTCGACCAACATCTCTCGACCTCTTCATCCGGCTACCTCGTCGGCGAGAAGTGCACAATAGCAGACATCGCGCACTGGGGCTGGGTCGCAGCCGCCGGATGGGCGGGCATCGAAATTGATGAGTTCCCGCATTTGAAGGCGTGGGAGGATCGGATGTTGGCGAGGCCGGGGGTGGAGAGGGGGAGGCATGTGCCGAGTCCGCATCGCATGAAGGAGATGAGTAAGGCGGAGATGGAGAAGCATGCGCAGGAGAGTGCGCAGTGTACGTAGAATTTGCAATCGTCCCCTATTCCATGTCAAGGCGTTGGGCGCAAGCCATTTTTCGGGAGCTTAGCGCTCGTGTTACTCCTCAAGCTCGGTTTCTTGCCTTCTTGGAGAGCCATGCTGACTCTGAAATCTGAATAGGGATCCAGAGGGAGCAAGCGAAGGATGCGAAGAAAGAGTGAGGATGGAACGGGATTGGTACTTGGTGGAAAACGAATCCCACATAGTTGGGGCTGTATGATATGCAGGCAAGCTGTCCAAAAAGATCTGGAAAACTGTGCGTCGTTAGACCCTCTCATTCATACATCGCTTTTGGGCATCGTCCCGAACGTATATACAACTCATGACCCAAAGTGCTTCAGAGAGATTCTTCAAAACCTCAGGAATTTCTTCGTTGCTAGCTGTTGCGATCGAAGTTTTGAGGATCTAACAATTTCAGCCGTCACTTTTCCCTGACACCTTTCCTGCATTCGTTGAAACCACCACGATTCCCCATGGATTCATATCCTAACCGTCAGCCTCCATTGCGAATCCTACCAAAATATTCAATGCCAATCTTTTGGGATTTCGCACTCTAACGATGGCTTTTCCGGGCGGCTCAAAGGCAAAGCACCAACCCACTGCCAGATCGGATACCTCGTACTTTTTAATGAATACTCCCCTTCTAGAGCTTCTTCCTCTGACCACCTTCTTCAATCTTTTCTTCTGCCCCTTTTCCAGCTCTGTGTCTCTTCTCCCTCCAATCCACATCTTCGCGAATCACGATCGAGCGCAAAGGCGCATAGCGATACCCAGCCCGGATAAAGTGATGCACCACCTCGCATTTACTCTGTGTCGAGATACCCCTGGCATCGCCAGAGTAACATTGAATGGCCAAGATGAGCCCCAACCAGAGATTCCCTAGCCTCACAGCCTGGTATAAAATTACTACTTCCATGATGACCCGCTGTCAATCCTGAGAATCTATTCAAAAAGCCAACGTACCTGTGAACGACCACTTATTCAAACTTGAGATGTCTGCCTCGCTGGCAATCCGTTTCAACAGCACATGGGCGCTGGCGTTGGTCTCTCCGGCCTTGCTTTTTAGTATGTTAATTCACCACTGACGTATAGGCTGTTTCCTGTAACGAGGCCATCTGAGTCGCGGTTCACATAGCCTACAGTTTACTCTGGCAAGCAAATCTCCGAACCTCGCCAGAAGTCCATAGAATTTTGCGTCTTGAGCTAGTCACCTGGAAGTGAAGTAATAGTTAGTGCAAGTGAATGCACTCAACCAATTCAAGCTTTCAAGTGAAGAGATGAGATGTAGCAGTCAACGCTGCTATCCCCGCGTGAAGTGCGCCTGTGCATAATAGACCAAGCGGACATGAGATAGGGACTAAAAGATGAACAGGTCCGACATCACTACAGATATAGGACCCGGAAATGAATCAGACCCTATCTGTCACTCTGTTTTCCCGGACCACCATCTCAATCATTCCACTCCATCCCACACACCCCTTCGTTCCGACCGGCCAAGCTCTGAGCTATCTCGCCAGCCAATAGCTCATTCACAGTCCCATTACTATGACCAAGAATCCCCAAATTCTCAACGGCTACCCTTCTCACGATACAAAGATCATCCAGCATCGAGCCCACTCACAACCGCACTCGCATCCCTCACATCAACACTAGTCCCACAGCTATCGACACAATTCCCCAGTCAACCCAGCAAGCGAATCTCCCGCCTCCGCTTACAAGCCAGGACAACGAAACGGCGAAAAAACCACAGCGTCCTCCCTCAAGCTCCCCAGCCTAGTCATTCCACAGCGACATCTCCACGGGCTCCAGTGACGCCGAGGCCGCGCCTTTATCTTCGACCCTTTCGCCCGCGAGACATCCAAAATCATCCGGGCGATGACAAGCATGAAGCCAGCCCGGATGTCGCCGGAAAAACGATCGTCCGCTCGTGCGGGCTATGCACTCCGATCAGTGCTCCGTTGTTTGCTACGGCCCGATGATGAGGTAGTGCGATGTTGTTATTCTACCGAGAGGTGGTGCGTGGGAGGTGGAGGTGGAGGTTGATGTGAAAGGGACTTTAAAGGAGTGACGCCAGGACAACGGAACAACGTGCTGGGTTTGATGGTTTCAAAAGGACGGGAGGCAGTGGATCCTTCCTGAGACGGGGGGAAATTTTGAGTTCGGGCGAGGGTGGCATGACGGAGAGCGGGCGAGGGCATTGGAAGAGATTTTCTTGTCAACGGCAAGATCGTAGAACTTCTAGTACCCATCGTAGCGAGCTAGAAGGACGTGCAAGAAAAGCACTCATGAAAATGCAGATTCGACTCTCCCAACATCGACGTTCCAACTCTGCGGATGCCGTCTTCAACATCGCCACGTTCGATGGGTAGGAAACCCGACAACAGGAACGCTGAAAGGTTAAACGCCTCGAAAGCCAAGATAGTATTGTACTCTAGGCACTGAAACCAGCTGGTTCTCTGCACATTCATCCAACAATCTCCGTCATTATATGGGGTCAATATCGAAAGCTGGCAGTACGGATCGAAAATCGCCTCCATGCCAGTAGATCGTTCAGGGTAGCAAAGAAGAGGCAGATGTAGATAGGAGCGTTCCCAGTTTCGATGCACACACTTACGGTCTCGAGCCAAGCCAGCAGCGTTGGACTTGGAAGGTGTGGGATGGAGGCACTGCAACGCAGTAATCAGTCATTGAAGCAATGTGCAAAGCCAAGAGATGTGCGCAGGTATCCAAGTTCCCCCCTTGTATGTCTTGCAGAGAACCGTTGTGAATGTGAATTGGGTCATGGTCATAAAGAAGGACACAGATTCGTGCAGCAGGACTCAATTATGGTTGTGCTCATCGAGATTCTGTACCTTTCGGCACGCTGCTTTCCCAAGTCCTCCATCTTGAATAATCGCCCCCTCTATTGCCTATCTAACACAGTGTCGTATCGTAAATAGTAATATATATGCAAGATATCGGGCTCAAGATGTTGCTTCAGGCTGCCAACAGTCCTTCCCACCAGGCCCTTATGGCCCGCCAACTCCTCGTTGTCATCACATCAAAAGGGTGTTCAGGTGGAAGTGGGGATCAAAGGTAGCCGTCCGCCCAGATTGACACACCCTGTTTACAGAAAGTAGCTCCACCACTGTCGCACCTCGCGTCTTGATGATCAACGCGAGAAAACTTCCGAAATCCTCAAGTAGCCGGCTTATGAGATCTCCCGAGACGAGATTTTGGTCCCAGGTTGCGTGGATGCTGATATGCTCGCCATGTTCGTACACCTCGAACATCAGACCATAGTCATGAGCGAAAGGAACGGACAGATCTTCTCTGTAATCCAGAACTGCTGGTGCTGCTTCCTTATCGTAACAGATGATTCTCTTACATGACAAATCGCAGTCAGGCGGATTCCAACTGAAGACCGCTTGCTTGAGCATATTCTGGAAACCGGCTTCCCTACTCAATACTTTCATGGCGCAATGTTCGAAGCCAATCATTGACGACAATTGGGTCTCGATGTCACGCATGAGGTTCTCGATTGACAGATCCGGCAAGAAGCGAATAAGTAATGGTACCCGAGCGCTGATAGGACCCATTGTGCGCTTGATTCCAGGGAGGTCACTTTCACGAGCCGAGCTCATAGAGATAAACGAGATATCCTCGTTTACGAGCGGAGGGTATTCCCGTGTCAGGAACTTTGCTATGGTGAGAGCCCAGGCAGCATCTGCGCACACTTTGAAGTCAGCATGGTCTGTTTAAGGCAGCACATCGAGCTATACAACTGGTCCCGATGTCAACGAAGGCTTTGCTCCCCAGACATATAATCAGGCACAGATTTGGTACAGGAATGGAAGTAATCACTGAAAAAAGCACGTACGTCCCATGGTAGGCAAGTTGAACCTTGGGTTTTCCACCTTTGGCAGATGCAGCAGCTTCTTGGTCTTCATCGTAGATGCCGAGGGAGTGCCTCCCGGTCCAAGCACTGGAAACTTGTGCACGAGGTTATCAAAGGTCGTATGACGAGTGAGCCAGAATGTAAGTCCCACTTCATAGACGCACGATGCAAGCCATATTGCGTACTTTCCATAAGGCGGGCGCGGAGGGAGTTTGGAGTAGGCCAGTAGATCTGAACAGGCAATTTGTAGGTCGTCAAAGATCAGGCGTAGCGTCCTATCCGAACTTAGCAACAAAGCACTGATAAAAGCAAATTGGACCCACCACGCGTCGACAGCACTGCAATGGACTGATTGAAGTGATAGAACATTAGAGTGTGATTTCGAAAATGGGGATGAACTCCGTCTGGAGTGACTTACCCGTCCAAACAAAGAAGGCTTCACCATGAGGCTCCCGAACGAAGGCGTATCGAGACAGTGGAGTGCCGTAGTCCATACGCGTCCGAGAGTTCTGTGCTAGAAAGCCGTGAAGATCGACCCCTGTTTGTTGAAATACGATAGGATCTCTCAGAACAACCTGGTAGACGTGGCCTTCATGTTTAACCAGTCTTGTACGCAAAACGTGATTCTTGAAACGCATTGCGCTCAGGACTCGAAGAAGGAAGTTCTGGTTCAGATCGCCCTCATAATGCAGGACCATCTGCATCATATATGATGATCCAGTGCTTATGTGATGTTCCATATAGTGTTCTTGCTCTTCAGAAGCTGGACAAATTTTCTCAATGATCTGACGGCCAACCCCGCAAGCTTCAGCACAAGCACGGATCATCTTGTCGGTGTCTTCCTTTCGACTGTTAGTGGTGGTGGGAGACCCGGCGTCCATAGTTGAAGCTGCGGCTTTTGCTGAGCGGAGACAGACAGGGACTTTAATTAGTGACGAAAACTTTTGATGCGTTGTTGGAAAAGAGGACGCCACGAACTGTGCATCTTAATGTACTTGAGCCTGAAACTCAGTGAATACCAGGTTTGCGCCAGTGAAGGCTGTGAGGTGAGATGAAGGGTTACGCGAGGTATTGCCAACTTTACTCGACGCGATACCTCCTTCAATTGACTTCGTAACGATCTCAGACATTCACTCCTTTGAGTCTTTCGAGCTTCTATTAGGGCCATAGTCACCATCGAGTGATTCGCTGCTCACGCACTTCACGGCCGTATAAATCCTCCACGGCTTCGGAAGATATTGGAAGCGCATCCGTCTTCATGCGGGTACCCGCTTGGAATCCAATCATATATTCGAAAAGCTGCAAAAGACTGAATTGAGGAGGCTTGATCACGAAGAATTGAAGAAGCTCTTCAGTACGTTCACGCAACCCATTCCCCGGCACCAAGGAAATGAACATACGAAACAGAGAAGGTGAGGGAAGAAAGAAGTGCACATTTGGCCAGCCGATGAACTTGACCCAAGAGGAGGCCTAGAAGTCCCAAGTAAACATTCTCCTCCCTTTAATGAAATTCAGACATCAGGAAGCGGACAAGATCTGATCCCTCGACACTACGTAGCCATCAGATTTGTCGCAGCCGTTTCAGCCTCGCAGTCTCCGAACTCCGAAGAGACGCCCCCACCACATCTAGCGAGATACTCATTTTTTAAGCCGACCAAACCCTGAGGCGAGCCCGGCACCAAATAGTCTCCGAAGCGCCCTTCACGATAAGACGACAGGCCAATCTCTCGAAGAATCCTGTCGATATAACCCTCAGACTCGAAAGGCACAAAACTGCCATTATCACCATTAGACAGATATCTTCGGCAGCACCAAGCAATCTTTCAGGCGACTTCTGCGCGTTTGTCTTCTAAGGGAGGCAATAAAAACTGGGTTCCAAGCAGGCCGTCGCCCATATCGCTTCACGTTCTACCCCTCTGAAGTAGTTCACGTAAAGGGGATAGCCGATGAGTGCGGTCCATTCGTTTTGTAATGGAACAATGCCACTGTAAAGGCGGTATGATGTGATTCGATAGATTCGTGAAAATGATCTGGAGGGTTTGCTAGAAGTGGATATTGTTTCTCTCATCGAACTTGTTTTCGAGCTGCGCCCTATTTCAGCTTCCACATCATCTTTCAGAGTTTGAGGAACAAGCCGGTCTGAGATGAAGACGCCAACAGATGCGGCACTCCAGCCGGTGAGACATAAAGAAGAAGGTTGGCGATTTGTTCTCCGCCTTTTAGACGGATTAGATGCTCGTCTAGCTCGAGGCCGCTATCGTGATAGACTTGAACGTTCTGCGCGACAGTCTCCCAGGAGTCACCTCGGTTGAGTAAGCCTCCCCTTCCGACTGGTGAGCTGAATCAGTTTGCAAGTTCTTCAGCTTAGCGTATCCCCTTTGAGACAAGAACTATGTCGTGAAACCATTGCTGGGATTCCATCCTCCTCCAAGGCAACTGGTATTGCTCCAGTATAACAAGTCAGCATTTTAGATGTACCTACGGATAAAAATCAGCTAGAGCTATGCCAGCTATCCCCAATCCGACTTGTTGATTGGATGTTGGGGGAGGACACAGGTTAATTATTTCCACCTGCGCCAATCACAACAAGATCGACCTCTGGAAGACCCATCCTAGTGTGTGCATCCAGTTGATTGGACTTCTGGAGGCAACAATCTATATCATATGGCTTGAAGTCAGTCACAGGATCCAGCCACAGTGCTGATCTTTGGCGAAACGAGCGCGTAACCTCACCGACTGACGCCACCAGTTGCTACCTGATATACTCGGAAAAGCCTTAGTCTGAAATCAGCAATGTTGTACGAATACTTCTTGCACTCGTTGATGCCAGCGGCAAAACTTACCGATGGGCTTTATGAGGCACCCGTACCTGTACCTACGCAGAGCCTGTACTCTTGGTGACCCGTACGTAACGACATACCAAGCCAGGTCATAGTTAGTCATCGCTCACTATTTCCAACTTTTCATTCCGGCCATGTGATTAACCAAACACCGACAGAGCAGTTAGTAAAACTTGGAGGCAGCTCAGGGAAAGTGGCATAATCCCAAAAACATCCACATAAACACGATGGACATGACACCGTTGCAGTCCCATTGGAACCAAAGATCAAAGCAATTTTTGTTGATCAAGGCTAGCGGTCCGTTCCATTCGGGATGAATCCCATACGCGGCGGAAGGATGGAAAGAAACCCGAGGTAAAGGAACGGGAAAAAGACCATAGACGCACGAAAGGGCAGAGACATCGCAGCGAAAACGGCCTGCGCAGCATGGAAATCGCAATCACGGTCAAGATTGGAGACCAACCATAAACTAAGAATAATGGGACGGAGAGAAGTGGAAGGCGCGAGAACGAGGGAAAAAGGGGATAAGAGGAAGCTTACCCGAAGGCTTGGCGCCTTGGCGCTATTCTCTCACATGCGTGATGGAAGCTCTCTCTCGTCCATTAGCTCCAAAGTCTGCAACCCATGCCGGTGGATACCTTCCAGAAATCAATGCTGCAAAAGCGTGCCAGCCTATACTGTGAAATTCACAGCGATGGGAAGTAAGGCGGTAGATCACCACACAGCGAGCGAAGAAGCCTTGATTGAGCTCTGCCACAGCTCGTTCTCTCCAGTACCGAACAGCTCGACTTTGGGCGGAAGGTGGTCAAAAGATCAGAGCAGGCTGCTGTGAGTTACGGCCCTGGAGTCACGCGTCGGGAAGCTGCTTCACAGTAATACGTCTATACGGCCATGCAAACGGCAGTAATGAAATCAGAGGTCCGGAAGTCTACCGCTTGTTCACAAGTCCTTATGGCGACTCATGCGAATGCGGTTATCTTGTCATGGGATTTGTCCCAGGGCTGGGCTTAGACGCGGTTGACCTGGACCGACATCCAGCCTTATGGAACGGATCGCTGCCTCTCTAGAATACCTCTGGCAGATTCCTATCCCCCATGATCAACAAGGCCCGGGTCCTTTAAGTGGTGGACTACCATAGGGGTACATCTTCGGCGATCATGGTATGACATCGCCTTCGATACTACATCTGAGATGAATGATTGGATGGATGACAGGCTTGCTTCCCAGAAGCTGAGGCTTGGAATCATACGAAAGGCGCGCATTGATGGACGGGAAACGTTGGATGACTACAAGAGAGGCTGTGGATTGCATTGGACTGAACTGGTCATGTCACACCTAGACGTTGCTCCTCGCAATCTCATGTTGCTACGCGATGGCTCTGTATGCCTCCTCGATTGGGCCTTTGCGGGATTTGACCTTCCCATTTTTGAGGTCTCCACTTTACACGCACGTATTGAATGGAGCGAATAATGTCTTAAGAGTCTAGTCGGCCATATCTATAATGCAGATGCAACATCGGAGCGGCAAATCCAAGTCCTGAGCTCACTTCATTACACGCATGATACGGTTACTCCGTAAGTCTAAGAGCCATTGTTTCATTCGTTTTTTGTAATAATTGTTAACCAAGCACCCAGCAAACGACTTGCCATAGATTTGATGCCGCACGAAGAAAGAATGCAGGTACTAGTCAAAGAGCGGCAAGAGCGACTGAGTCGGCTAGCCTCTTATCCTATCCATGGTGCAACAGCAATATTTTGCGCTCGCAACGAAACTACTGCAATTGTATGAAAACGACTAAACTATAACTTTAACAAATTACAGGGCCAAAATAAGGCGACAACAATGTTGAGTCTAACAGATACATTCCTAAATCGATGCCATAGCTGAGGGTCGGACGCACAATCAGTGTTCAATGACGAAGAAAAATTGTGCTTGGGTTAGAGTGCCTGGGGCCTTGTAGCACATTGAACATCCCCTTCTGTCGGACAGAGAGCCAAAAAGAATCGTTCAGAACGGTGACCCTCTCGTGTATTATGTATGGCGCATTGGTTGGGATATCCAGATGGAACAGCTTTGGGATGAGTCCCTCAATGATACGCCTTAGCGGTTGCGTTGGAATCAGTGTTTGCCTCGTAAAAACCCTTCTCAGCCACGCCAGTTGGCGGTAGAGAAGGGACGCACCTCTCTCATATGAACCTCAGCCGGAGATACGAAGACCAAAGCCAGCTTGTTGGCTTCGCTTTCAGGGAGCAGTCCGGAACTCGGGACGGGAATGACTTCAGAGAGGGTGAACATCTATTAAGACGTATAAGAAACTTTGTAGATAAGATACCTTAGATATAAAGCGGGAAAGTAGGGATGAGATCAGTCAGGGCAAAGCCTCTTCTTTAAAACTTCGTAAGTCGACGGTTCTACCTGATCAGTGTTCCATAGTCAGCTTAGAACTGCGTCGATTGGCTAGGTTGGACGGCGTGCTAATCGCTTAGCCTCCCTACGACGCGTGCCTACATACCTCTCACCTTCTAACATGCTAGACTCGTTCGACATCTCAAGGAGTGGTTTTGCTTTTCTCGCACCTTAGCTTCAGACGCTAGGAATACCATTAATCCAGAGCCGTCGAGCTGTCCATATACTGGAAAGCTGAGACAATGTAGTTGATTGCAAGATAAGATCATGTCCATTAACAGAGGAGTAAGTCCCACTAGCGCGAGTCTAAACCCTCCGGCTTCTCTGCACCAATAGCGCTTACAGCAAGGCACAAAGAAAATTAGAATCTCCAGCCATACCATTCCAGACAAGGGGTGGCTCAGGACAGGTTGAGTCCCGTCAGATCAACAAAAGTTGCCTCAGCTTCTTCCCTGCACGACATTAGCACTAAAGCTCGCACTTTCCTCCGTCGTTCCAACCAACGAGTTCTTCTTAGCCTCCTCATATGTCGCTAAGCGAAAGTCATAAGGCAATTCAAACCGTGCCTTCGGATCGCCCTCTCTCGGCAGGAAGTCTACTACCAGGCTCTCCTTCACCGCGAAGACTGCATCGTC